CACTCTCCCAGGGTTCTGTGAAGAACTTATAGGTGCTCAGGACTCAGGTGGTCACAAGGTGGCACTCTCTGTACATAACACACACACACCCAAGACTGGAAGGGGTTGGGGAGGTGGGAAGATGCTCTAAACCAAAGCTGCCAAACTGTGGGGAATCCCAGAGGAGAGAAAAATCATAACATTGGCCATGGCTGTGTGGGTGAGGATCACGTCTTTAGGTCTCTGCCTGTGTCCCAGCAAGACTGAGGGAAGAAGTATTTGAAGTCATGAAAGGCAAGGATGTACACTAAAGATCACTCAATGCAACAAAGCTATCATTTAGAATGGAAGAACAGATAAAGTGCTTCCCAGAGAAGGTCAAGTTAAAGGAGTTCATCATCACCAAGCCCTTATTATAAGAAATGTTAAAAGGACTTACCTAAGAAATTGAAAAAGATAAAAAACTATGAACAGTAAAATGACAACAAACTCACAACTATCAATAAATGAACCCCCCCCCCAAAAAAAAACTAAGCAAACACCTAGACCAGGAGCAGAATCAGAGAAATGGACATCACATGGAGGGTTTTCAGTGGGAAGGGGGAGGGGAGAAAAGAGGGGGGAGGCACAGGGAAGAAGGAGCATAATTGGTAGGCATAAAATAGACAGGGAGAAGTCAAAAATGATATAGGAAACAGAGAAGTCAAAGAACTTATACATACAACCCATGGACCTGTACTAAGGGGGGATGATGGAGGGTTGAGGGGTGCAGGGCGGAGGGAGGAGGAAAGAGGGAAAATTGGGACAAATGTAATAGCATAATCAATAAAATATTTTAAAATAAATCAAATATACTGGGAAATTGACCTTAGCCCTCTCATGAGTTCATTTCTATGGAAACTAAGTGGCCAGAGGAAAAATTAGAGCTTCTGGATAATGAAATAGTAGAACGTCATAGTTCATCTAACCAAAAATAATATAGAAGGTAGAAAGGACAGTGGACAAGGGAGGAAGATGTTATTAGCTTAATAAAACTTCTGATGATACATGCACAGGGTTTTGGTGGCTGGGACACCAGTTCCCCTCAGACGCTTCCTTGTCTAGTATTAGGCATTTTGTGTTCCTAATCGGTGTTGCAGGTTTAGTACAGTTACTCCTGTCCCTGATGTGAAATGTTACACTAGAGGCAAAAAAACACAACTTACCACAAGCAGTGGAAAGACTCAGGTCACAGCAGCTGAAAAACTGGAAAAGGTCCAGAACATTCACAAACAAGGACGTGAAGGCTCTGACTGCCTCCTGTTCCCCCACCTTCTCTGAATAATAACACTTCAACCTTCAATGCCGTCTGGGGTTATAGTCTGGCCCTGTTCCCATTGGTCCGTCCTGTTCAGCCAGACAGACCTGACTCTGAGACGGCCCAGGAGTGAGCCTTCCCAGCATGGTGGGGCCTCCTACCCATCCAAAGGCTTGGTCAGCAATGCATGCTTTGATTGGTTTATGACCAAAAGGGGGGGGGGCATGTGGAAGGAAAGGGGCCACATAGTAACCTGAGAAGCTCAGGGGAGGCCTGTGTGGCAGCCTTACACACTCAGAGACCTAAGGGAACCTCACTGGTCATCCCGAGTGACCCAGGGCTGGTCTCCCTGTGGGTTCTAGTCCCACAGCTCTTCCTGCTCACAGCCTCAGGTCTGTTAAGTGGCTTTTCCTGAAATAAAATGAGCCCCCATTAATCTGCATATAAATTCTTTTATTTTTAAATTACAAAATGTTGGGTTCATTATTTGCTGCAAGAATCACTCAGGGGTATCATTGCAGAGAGCGAGCATTCCAAGGTTTTCATGATGTTGAACTGACAGCCACTTTCTCATCTTCCGCCTGACTTTCCCCATGGTAAGGAACACATTATGTACCCTCCACCCTCATATGATGATGTGTGAGGTACCTTTCCTCACCCAGAAGAAGAAAACATTGAAATGTGCATTTCAGTCATTTCCCCAGCCTGGGCCCTATCTCACCACTGAATTGTGTGCATGCAAATCTGTCTGAGACCAGGATGGCTTGTGAGCTTGTCCGAAAACACTCAGATTTCTCCCAAAAGTTACTGTCAGAATGTGGGGCATGAAGTCCAAGTCATCACTTTTTTTAACTTAAAGTAATTTTTTTCTTTTTCTTCTTTTTATTTATTTTTTCTATCAGTGTATATCCCTCTCAATACAATCTCGCACCTCCAACCACCCACCCTGCCCCCCGTAATCACCACGCTGTTGTCTGGGTCTATGAGTTTAATGTTTTTATTTTTAATTGCAGTTGACAGTCTATATGTCATAATAAACTTTTTGTTAAGTGAAGTCACAGGGCTGTCCCCATTCAATGAGAGAGACAGAAACATGAGTGACACACACAGTATCCACATGGGAGGTGACGGTGTCCCAGCAGAAATTCCTGAGGGGACAGCACCTCCTGCAGGGGGATTTGAAACAAGAAAAGTGCGTGTGTGGATCTCTGAAGGGCAGACACTTCTCTGTCTAGGCATCTGTATAAGAGATGGGCTTCTCCAGAAGACTAGTAAGAAGATTTTCTGTTGTTTCCCTGTAGGTGGCGCTGAAACACAAGTTTGTTTGTTTGTTTTGTTTTTTAGTTCCCTTGCACCACGGGTTTTTTCTCTGTCTGCAAGGATGGTGGGAAATGGCTCCTGATCCCTGCAAAGGTGAGTGTCTCCTCTGTGTTCTGGTCACCTTGGTTTCAGGGCACTAAGCCAATGGGGGAATTTGGGGGAGGAAGGGATGGGGTTTCAAAAGCCTGAAATCACAGTGCTATCCCCTGCAGACAGATGTTGCAGACAGCCCAGCTGCTGGGGGCAGGGTGGGGGCTGGAGGGGTGAGCTGGGGGCAGTTGGCCACTGCTTTTATGGCTTTGTTCTCCTACAAGTGGTGACCTGGGGATCTCTGTAGCCTCCCCTCTGTACCTGCACTTGACCACGGCATTAGCAGCAGAGAACGCCTGTCCCCCATGGAAAAAGTGTTTCTGTGCTACGCTTCCAGGTTTGCAGATAATGTGCTCTGCAACCCCCAAATCAGTGCTACAGCATCTTTGGTTGCATGCTGCGCGCTCTGGGAGGGTGAGAGGGAGTGAGCACAGGGGGAATGAGGGAAGGCCAGGCCTGGGAGAGCAAGGGGAGGCGGCTCAACTTTCCCCCACTGAGAGAAAACACTATACCTTTATATGTTGTCACATCATGTGACAACATATAAACTATCTTTTCTTCCCCAAAAAAAGAAAACATTTAAATGTGGATTTAAGTCCCTTCCCCAACCTGGGCCGTAGCTCAACACAGAATTGTGTGCATCCAAATCTGTCTGAGACCAGGAATGCTCATGGGCTTGTCACAAAATACTCAGATTTCTCCCCCAAACTTCTATCAGATGCTGGGTAAGAAGTCCAAGTTAGCATTTAAAAAAAACTTTGAATAATTTTTTATTTTTCAAAAACAGTTGACATATTTATTAGTTTCAGCTATAAAGCACAGTGATTAAACATTTATATTGCTTACTAAGTAACCTCCCCAATAAATCTAGTAGCCAACTGACAACATACATAGTCACAACAATATTATTGATTGTATTTCTTAAGCTGTATTTTGCTTCGACCCTACTAATCAATGTTGATGGCTAATATAGGACAACCAGCACATTTTCACTGATTTGGGTGGAAGTTATGAGAGGAGCCAGGGAGGGTGAGTGTAGAAGTGGTGAAGAGCACAGCAGGACAATCTCAGAATATCTCCGCATAAGTTACTAATGAATGACAAACACCAAATGCTGAATGTATGATGGGGAAACATGGCCATCACCAACTGCAGTGAGTGACCAAGATGAATGTCCCCACTGTTGGGACAGGGAGGTGCAGTGTCCAGTTCTTGTCTTTCCTCTTCCACAGTCCTGGCTCCCTTAGTGGCTTCATCCACACTCACGGATTTAAGTGTCATTCTTGTAGCATCACCTCCAAGTCTATGTCTCCAGATCAGACATTTCTCCTCAAGGTCTCCACACTCATCTGTCCAACCTGACACCTCACTGGAGTTTCTAACAGACATCTCACTGTGACCTTCTCTTCAGCTGAACATATGAAATACCCACCCCTCCCCCACATGTGCTCCTGCCAGAGTCTTCCCCATCTCTGCTGATATAACCCTATCTTTTTGCCGACACAGTACAAAGGTGGGGTGCCTTCCTTGACTCCTTTCCCACACCCCAGATTGAATCCTTAGGAAATGCTGTGAAATCCATCTTCCAAATGCATTCAGTGTCCAGTCCCTTGCCACTGTTTCCACCACTCACAGCCCTGTCAGAACACCCAGCACCTGCAGCCTGGAACCCTGGGAGCTTCCCCACACCTTTCCCTCCTGCCTCACTGGTCCCTTGTCTCCTGATTCTGTCCTCAGCTCAGCAGCCACACTGACCCTGTGGCCCGAGGACTCTCTCTTGGGGAGGAACTCTCAGAGGAAGCTACTACGGAATTTGCCTCCTTGGCCATGACCTTCCAGGACTCAGCATCTTCAGGATGAGAACAGTATCTGCAGTGGATTAAGGACAGTGGAGGCTGGAACAGTTCCTGCTGTAAGCAGGTGTTCTCACCTTCTGATTGGTCAGCTCTCTGACCCCACAGGGACACCCCTGAGGTCTACAACACAGGCCCTGGAAGCTTGCAGGGACTCCTAGGCTACAAAGCAGCACTCCATTAGAATCAGGGGACTCAACCAGCCAGAGGCAGAGGATCCAAAAAGTACATTTGGATGTGCAGGGAGAAACCCTTAATTGCACACGGTGCCCAGGTGGTCACAGGGAACATCACTGGGGAGCTGTGTGGTCCCCTTGTCACATGGCACACAGTCTGTCCCTCCTGGGTTGTCTCCACACATCCTGGTAAGTTCATGAATATAAAGTGGCTTTGAATGGCTTAACAAACAGGGAAAATGTATTGAGAGAATAACACCTACCAGAAACAGAACACCTTGGAGCTTTTAATCTACATCACTTTTGATTTATTTATATATTTATATAATATTCAGATGCTGGTTGCAGAAACAACAGAGAGGGACCCTTAAAGTCCCAAGGGAGGCTGTAGTGACTATTTCAGCACCAACTCTTGGAGAAAGCAGCTCTGTCACCCTGGAAACAAAGGTATTGTGAACAAATTCAGGTCAGTCTCAGAAGTGTCACATTCTCCCACAGCCATCACATGCTCAGAATGTCCCACTCTGAGAATTCCCAAAACCCAGTTGTGTCCCTGTTCCCAATGCCCCCCACTCCCTGCCCTCAGGGTCTCACCCTTAGGAGCTGTGAGAGACACATCAGAGCCCTGGGCCCTGTCACTGCCTGGGGAAGACACAACAGCAGAGTTACAGGGTGGGAGAGCCCCCTCTCAGACTCCAGCCCACACTCTCCCAAGGGTCCCAGACATCACCTCCCCAACACCCAGACTTACAGGCAGCCTGAGTGTAGCTCTCCCTGCCTCTGCCTGTGGGAAGAAAATGATCTGTGAGAAGTCAGGGGGAAGGCTGTGTCCTGTGACCCTAAAGGAGCCCCACACTCCTGAAGCACAGGGAAGGTTCCAGAACTGTGACTGAACACCCAGGGTAGGATCAGGAAAAACAGGGAAAGTACGTGTGTGGGGCTGGACCACCCACCCTTCTGGATGTCTGTCCTCAGCAGGGACCTTCCCCTCTGACCTCTGACAGCATGGGAATCAGACCCCATCACTAGAATCATCAGGTGATAAATGTGTCCCTCACTTTCCCATGGGGCCTCACTAAAGAGTCAGTGTTAGCAAATAGGCCCCAGATGGACAAGCACCCTGTGTGGGGGGTATGATGCCCATTAAGGAGGCAGAGCACACTTCCACCTGGGCTTGACCCCCAGGGTGACAGAGAACTCAGCCCCACCCCTTGCCCACCTGAGCACTTCCTCCTCCCCAGCACAGCTCCAGTGACCACAGCTCCAAGGAGAACCAGGGCAGCAACAATGACCACAGATGATGGTGATGGTGGTCTGAGGAGGGGGGTCTGCAAGGGGAAGATGAGAGGTCAACCTCAGGCCTGAGTCCTGACCCTGCTCAGGGACACCCTGAGGAGAGGCTCTGTGCCCACATCCCCTCCTCACCCCATCTCAGGGTCAGGGGCTGGGGCAGCCCCTGGTGCTGCACATGGCACGTGTATCTCTGCTCCTCTCCAGGGGGCACAACCACAGCTGCCCACTTCTGGAAGGTCCCGTCCCCCTGCAGGCCTGGTCTCCACAAGCTCCATGTCCTGGGTCAGGTCCTCCCCTTCATGCTGCCAGGTCAGGGTGATGTCCGCAGGGTAGAAGCCCAGGGCCCAGCACCTCAGGGCTGACCTCATGGTCAGAGATGGGGTGGTGGGTCACATGTGTCTTTGGAGGGTCTGAGGGGAGGGTGAGAAAATTCAGGAATTCTGCATGGCCTTGGGACACTCCAGCAGTGCTCATGTGACCACCCTGAGAGTGGACAGGACAGCTGGGGTGGTGGAAGGGAGAGCAACACCGAGACACCAGCCTGGGCAGAGCCATCTGGGATAATCTCCTATTTCTTGGAAAGTTCCAGAATCAGGGTAAGAACCTAGGGTAGGAGGGCCCATGCCTCTAAGTGGTGACACAGCCTTAGGTGGAGGCAGAATCACTCAGAAAAGCACTAATCAGGCCTCCAGAGAAGGTCTCAGCCAGAGAACCAGGGAGAGTGTCCTGGTGCACCAGGTGCTGCAGGGTGTGATGGAACCGCTGAAGAATGTTTTAGGGAGATGCTGGGTCCCTTATTGTCCTTTAGAGAAAGCTGGGCCCCTGGGTGAGTCACAGAATGAGGAAACCAGGGGGATTCTTCCTTCTCCCTAGCAGGAGGGACACTCTGACACTGCCCTATTTTCCTCCTCTTTTTGTAGGAAGCCACCCCAGCCCACTAATCCCCTCCTCGGAGAGGCCCGCGCCTTGGTACCTGCTCGGAGCAGCGTCTCCTTCCCCTTCTCCAGGAACAGGTGTAGCCGGCGCACGCACGTGTGATTCAGGAAGACTCTCCGGATGTCTGCGTCAGGGACCTGCACCAACTGGTGCCACCTGAGCCCAGCCACCTTGTGGGCCACGGTCCAGGAGCTCAGGTCCTTGTCCAGGGCAACGTAGTCGGTGCCATCATAGGCGAACTGAGTGTACCCTCTGAGGAAGCGTTCCTCCGACCCCACGACACAGCCGGTCATTTCCTGGAAGGTGTGAGACACTGACCCAGCTCGGAGGTCAGCCTCGCCCACTTAGACCAGCACAGCCCACACCTGGCCTCAGCCTTGGGGTGACCCTGGGACCCTGAGACTCACGGTCCCCCCTGCCGCTATTATGGGGATGGGGGTCGTTCCCGGACCTGGGTGGCGGTGGCTCACCGTCCTCGCTCTGGTTATAGTAGGTGCAAAGCTTGTGTACGTTCTCTAGGGAAGTCTGTTCGTTCTGCTTGATTTCCTGCATCTGTTCCTTCCAAAAATCTGGATCCTCCTGCTCCACCCACGGCTGCTCCATCCAAGGCACCCGCGGCTCCAGCCTTGGCCTGGCTGCGTCGCTGTCGAACCGTAAGATCTCGGTGTCGTCCACATATCCGACAACAATGTACCGGTTCTTCTCGCGGCCTGGTCCGTACATGGCGGTGCTGAAATATCTCAGGCTGTGCGGACCTGGGGGCATGGGGGACATGCGACCTAGGTCTGCGGTTGGGCCGGTAGCGGCAGGGTGCTTGGCGGACAGAACACCGGGCAGTGGTTCAGAGGAGGAGGAAGGGGGCGTGGCCCGGTCAAGCAGGAGTCTGGGGTCTAGGCCTGGGGTGCTGGGACACGCTTTCTCCAGGTCGTGTGCTGCCACTGGATCCCCTCCCTCCTGCCCCGCAGAGGACGTTCCCTCCCAACGCCGCACTCACCGCTCCAGGTCTGGGTCAGGGCCAGGGCCCCGGAGAGCAGCAGGAGCAGGATTTGGTGTCCCATGACCCAGACCCTGAGCGTCTGGGGAGGAGGAGTTCTGGTCACTGCACCCACTATAAAGCTGATGGCTTGTTTAAGTGATTGGACATCTGGTGGCAGTGAGAACCAGGGCAGGGGCAGGGTCCAGCCTGGGGACGTGGCGCTTTGTCCTGAACCCTCCTCCAGCCGGAACCTCTCTGCCCCTCCCTGAACAGTGGCCATCTGGTGTAGCCAAGCCTTGTAAACAGACAGAAGAGATAGTTAGGGGCACTCATTTAACTATTTATGTTCCTCATTCCCTTGACTTCACTGACCTCTCATCACACTCAACATGTCTCTGTCTGTCCTCTGGCTTCTCAGGAAGTGTCCTGCTGTCTGCACCTGATGTCACTTTAACTCGGTGTGACCACCTTAGCCCTGCACCTGTTACCGTCTTTACACCATGAAGACAGTTGTGTTTTGCTGACTGACCACCTACTGGTTCCTAGGAATGATTTACAGGAAACTCCTACTGATACTGCTGCTTTAACTTGGTTACAGAGGGATGTTATCTGATGGATGAACAGGGACATCACTGAGAGGGACATGCAGTAACTTCCATGGTGGATGTAATCGAGAGCTCTCACAGACTGGAAATAAAATCTTCCCAGCACGCTGAACTCACTGCTCTAACTCGGGCAGTGGGGAGGCCTCCTCACTTCCTCAGGGCAGTCCACAAAGAAATGGAAAACTGGTTGCAGATTTATTAGATGCCACACAGGACCCAAGACAATGGGCCTTTATCAAAATTCTGGGGCATTCTAGAGCTGTCACCATGGAAAGGAAAGAAAGTCATTTTGCTGACAGTGAAACTGGATAGGCAGCATTAAACAGAAAAATTATCCAGACCCAAGAATGTTCCCTCCTTTCTACTAAATCAACAAAAAAATTAACTTTTATAGTTTAGACAGACAGCTAAGGAGGAAGAAAAGAGAATATGGCAACAAAAAAGGGGAAACCTTGACCCAGACAGAGGGATGTGGGTTTGATCCAATCAGAACCTATCTTACCTGCAGGGGCCCGACTCCCTGCACTTGAACCTGTACATGAGCCACCACACTGGGGTCCTGGGAAGGTGATTTCATGGAGGGAACGATGTCACTGGAGACCTTCTGCTGCTGTTGCTCATGAGGAGGACAGCAGATGTCCTATCTGTCCAAAGTGCAGCCCAGGGACCCACTCCCTGGGTCCCAAGGACATCTCCCACTCCTGTGGGTCCACGTGAGGTTTGGCAATTGCATTTCATGCAAATCTCACCGTTTCAGGGACACAAATGTACATGAGTGATGACTTGTGTGTTTCCTCACTGGGTTGAGGTGTTGCCTTGCAGGAGATCGACAGCCTTAATGACTGGCAATTCTTGTTAGAAAGAATAACTCCCCACTGGGGAATTTCCTCTGAGTGACATTGTGTCTGAGGGACTCATTTCACTGGGCAAGTCACAAGATCCATGTGGAACATTTGGCCCCTTTTGCAGCACTTTCACTGTGCCCCTCACCCCCGCCCTCTGGACTGGGGGACGCACCAATGGGACATCAAAATTCAACTGGACAGAACTTCAGAAGCCTTTACTCTGCCCTGGACAGAAGCTCTCCCTAGAGTGCAACTCAACCCGAGAGCCACGCCCTTTGGTGAACATGAACCTTCTCCTTTGGGATTGGTCACTGGCCTCCCTGTACATCTGGATGAAAGGGGATGTGGACCAATTTTGCTGAAAGGAGACCTTCTACATCACTGCCAGGGGCTTATTAACCACCTTAAAAACACTGATAAATTAGTAACCAATTCATTTCACACTGTGCTCCTGGAGACACAGATTTCAAAGATCATGGCTTACAACCAGGATATTCAGTCTGTTGGAAGACACATCAAACAAAGGACTCTCTCCAACCTCATTGGAGGGACCTTACCAGGTACTACTAACTAACCCACATGCAGCCCAACTCAGAGGAGTTAATACCTGGGGTCACGTTTCTCATTTAAAAAGGCGCCTGATAGTTCATGGAGATCTGCCCCTTCCCTGACATTTGCCTCCATCCACAGCGGAGATCAAGGACCTTTCAAGGATGAGAAGCCACCGACCAGGCAAGCAGACAGCTGTCCCAGCACAGCAGTGGGGACTGCAGGCTCACAAATTGATGCTGCTGTTGATGGAATGCACATAAGATGATTTTATATCATTATTATCCTCCTCCTGGCTTACAGGTGGAGACGGTACCTGTCTCCCCAGAACCCTCTCCCTTAATAGATATGAAACATTTAGCTTATGTATGTGCTATTCTTTCCCACCTACTAGACAATGATATTCTAATTAATAGTTATGGTAATGAAGTTAATGCTTTGTTGGCCACACATTGGGCTTCTCCTACTATTGATACACACTTTGGAACTTTTTTCCTGAATATATCTATTATAAAGGACCCATCTAGGGGAAATTCTTCCAAGGACACGTCCCTGATAATTCCCCTGCTGGAATCACATATGGACCCACCTAGGTGAGTGTTGTGTAGCTACAGCAATGGGTGATGAAGAGCTAACAGAGACACCTGCATGTGGTGGGAAAGGCTGGCAGTGACTGACTCTCTCTGTCACAGTGTGTCTGGTCCTCGGACTCACCAGCCCTGTGCCTGTGGCTGCATGTCTGTGAAACAAGAAAAAAATCAATGGCTCCCCATTTTCAAAATTTATTGTTATTACTTGTGGGGCAGATATATCTGTAAATACCCCACTCTCTTGTGACCTGGATGCTTGTGGGAAGCCCTATGGAATATTCAAACTCTAGCTGATTTGGAAGTAATAACCCCTACTCATTTAACTACCGATGGAGAAGTCAACATTTCTGGGTCCATTAAGTGTACCCCAGCTGCTCCCTGGCCATGGGTACCCAATGGCAACAACATCCTTGGTGGATCCCACCCCACCCGCCCTCTAAAAGAAATAAAAGGGTACTTGGAGGATTAGGGGCTGGACTTGGTATTGGGGCTGGACTTGGGGGAAAAGGTACAGGGAAGAAGAAGCATAATT